ACTAATCCCGTAGTGATATTTTGACTGGTCGATACAATGAATGATCTGTGTAACGGAGAATGAAAATCATATCTATACTTGGACGGTTTCTCCTGTTCCATACATGTTGTGATTATTAAAATTAGAATCACTAAAATCAAAAATTCCGTCGGGGGTTTTTTTTTGGTTACTTTGCTTATGAACAGCGTATAAAAATTTGATATGCAACTGATAAGTAATTCATAAACAATCTATAAGTAATTTTACAAATAATTGCACCTGCTTTAGACGCCTCATATTTGGGACACTCCTACCTCGAAGTTTGGTATTCAAACCCGAGCTTTGGACCAATTACAGTGCAATAATTATTTTTATTTATATCTTTAACCATTTATTTTTAAAAAAATAGTCTAATTATTAAAATCTATTTTCAAAATTAAAATTAAAATAAATGCACTTTTTTTTTTAAAAAAAAAAAATAACAAGAATAATTTTTTTAAATAATTAAATTCTAATGAATACTAAAACAAAACTAATATACAAATAGAAAATTATTATCAAAAACAATTTTAAAAAGAATTTTTAATTTATCGCAATTTTTTATTGCTCTCTAAATGCAAGTTGTTAAATGTTTTGGTCTCTACGAGCTGCATTTTGGGTCTGACTGAAAATATAATATTAAAAATCTTAATGTAACGAATAAGTTACAATAGATCTGCCCGGGCTTAAGAGCTAATATCTCAATTCGCAGATATTTTTGGTATCTTTTGTACGTGAAATTAGAAAATTCCACTCAAATCAGTCCAATGTTTGCTATTATTGAAAAATTTTTTTTGCCATTGCTTTAGAAAACTGCATATAAAGCATGTCGTACTTATAAAAGTAAAGAACCTATGGCATTTTCTAATAGAGGTCCAGCAATTGCATTAATACCAGCAATCATGAGTCTTATGCAATTAATCAACGCAACTACCGAAGCACTAAAACCTGGGCACACGCCAACGAGATAAGTTGATAATGAATTAAAGTTAATTAATGATCCAAATGCACCTTTGTAGGTGATAAGCGATTGTTAGGTTAGACCTTGTTAATATAATAATAAAAAACCGAACAAACTTATAAGTTGAACTCACCAAAAAAACCATAAAATCATCAAAGTATAAATGTTAAAATTATTTTCCAATAACCATCCGTAGGTAAGATATGAACATGGAACTATTAAAACCCCTAAGGCTGCACTTTTTATTCTCATTTCTGGATAAACAGATTCACCTTTGTTTCTTGCTCTTTGCAACACGAAATCAGAATATTTCCCACCGACAAGACTTCCAATAGCATATCCTACAGCAAGAGCAAGAAATAATAATCCAATAGATGAAGGTGGTAGGTTATATGTCCTCACAGAAAAATTTTGCGGAATACTAATATTTTGAATAGTTAATATCGAGGATACAATGCTTACGTATATAACTACAAGTACGACATTTGGATATCCTAATAATTTTAATGGAGCAAATGGATTAAACCTATTTTGAGATGGTTTAGATTGAGAGTTCAAAGTTGATGAACAAAAAGTTTCAGGTACAAAAAATAGGATTAAGGGAAAAATGAAACCACCATATATTGCTAAAATACGAAATATCCAATGCCAATTAAGGTATTGAATGATATAACCACCACTTAAAAGCTAGGAATTTTCTATCTTGATTATTTAGGTCAAATTTTTTTTTTAAATCAGGATCTGAGTCCTGACCGATCAGAATTCGGTCCTAAGAGGCCGATTAACATCCCTAAAAGTCTGCTATAGTTACCAATAATTTTTAAATACAGTACAATGTATTTTAACACAAAATGCGTTTATCATAATTATTTGTCGAAGTTTCTATTTTACACATTGGACGTAAGATTGGAAAATAATGTCTAAGACACTTGGTAATCGTTATGCTAGAATTCGATCTCGCTCGAAATATTCTATGCAAAGATTCACGGAATAAACTAATTTTGCCGGCAAAATTGGCCCGGCTTATGCCTGATTTATAGTTAACTACCAGGACCCGAGAGATGGCTGACGTGCATGGATACTGCATATACAAAATAGTACATTGTGTTCGATAATAAAATGCATACAAAATCAATGTTTCCATAAATTGATTTTATACATGTATGTTCACTAATCATCTAAACGAAAGATTTGAATTGAATTTTTAATCTAATGGGAAATTTAGAATTAATAACTTCGTATTGTTTTACCGACTGCATGGGATATTGAAGATAAATCATCATTTATTGACATAGATTCAAGTGGACTTAAAGCGAATTATACGAGTAAGATGAAAGAGAAATTTCGTAGAAACATATTTAATGAGTGTTGATAGTTTAAAGAATAAATCGTAGTATTTAATTTATTAAAAAAACTTTTCAATTAAAGATCCAGATGATTATAAAGCTGCCATTGTTCGAGCAAATCATCCAATCCCTTCAGAGTGTGGAGTATTTTACTTTGAAATTAAAATTATAAACAAAGAAAAAAATGGGTAATATTATCAATCATTATTTTCGTATCATAAACACCATCACTTTTGTTTTTTTTAAATAATATTTTTCTTGACAGAATGATTGGATTCGGATATTGTACAAAGCAAAGGAATAAAAAAATTGACGATTCAGATTATATAAATAATAAGCTCATGCCTGGTAATGGCAAATTTTTTATTTCATTTTCTTATTATTACAGATTAACATCTATATATCCTTTAGGACAGGAATATAAGGAAAATAAAAAAGACGAGGAAAATGAATCATGGGGGTGTAGTTACCATGGTGACGATGGGTATTCTTTTTGCTCAGGAAGTTGCGAGCCATATGATTTATCATATGATGGAAATACTCCTGGATATACTACTGGTGATATAGTTGGATGCTATCTAAATTTTAGAAATAGGATAGTGTTTTATACTAAAAATGGAATCAACTTAGGTACCAACATTTTAGAAATTAAAGGTTATGTTTCTGAAAGCAAAATAGACAGAAATTTAATAACCATAAAATATTTTAAGAAATTGCGTGCCATCTACATAACGATTTCAAAGGCATTCTATATCCTTATGTTGGATTTAGATCGCAAGGCGGGTCAGTAGAAGTGAACTTCGGCAACGAAAAATTTAAATATTCTGGTAAATTTATTCAAAGGTTTAATGTTTTTGGCTTATTTAGAATTTAACCTTGTCTATATATAAATTTCAATTGATAGCAATGACTAACGAATATGAAAATAGCAGTATACTACCAAATAATAATGCATTAGCATTGGAATATCAAGAAAAGGTTTATTTTATTATGGGTGGATATGAAAATATGCTTGTTAATTTGACTGATGAATTAACAAAATCACTAAATAAAGAGCCAAGTAATGCATTTGAAATAGGCTGCCGAGGAAAAATATATTTTATTTTGAGCGAATATGATAAGGCATTGGAAGATTTAACTAGATTGCTAGAAATCGTACCTAATAATACAATATCATTAAGATACCGAGGAGAAATTAATTATATGATGAAAAAGTATAATGAATCATCTGCTGACTTGGAGAAATTATTAAGAATTAAACCAAATGACGTATGGGCAGAAAAAGCTTATAAGTTAGTTGGTGTGCTGTAAGTATATAAATTTTAGTGGCTTAAAAAGTTTAGAGTAAATAATAAGTCAGTAAGAATTTTTTACAGTAAATCACTAGAATCACGTACATTCCAATGCAAAATAACATTAGGCCATGCAAACAAATAAAATTGTTTCTCATTACCTGGCCAGGTAACTTTTTAGAAAAGTTAAAATTTTCTTATATGAAAAAAAAATTTATAAAAATTTTTTATATCAAAAAATTTTTTTATTTTTTGCCGGCCTATTTGTTTGTCTCATGTAATGAGAAACAATTAATAATTGCATGTCCCTTTCATATCGCAACCGAATTTTTTGAATAGATTAGTAGCGAACCAAAATTCAGCAGATCGGCCCGAATTAGGGTCAGAATAGGCCGGAATTGATAAATTTTCTCTAAATTCTCCCAAATTTTTACTAATAAACTGACAGCCTATATATTAAGTAAATTGCTCGGCTATTAATTTTATTATAGTATAGAGCTAGTATGGTTAGCCAGTATTATTGCCAAGCTCCGTATTCTAAATTCGGGCCGATATGTTGAATTTTGGTTGCGCTCCAATTTTTTACGTTCATTCCAATACAAAACTAACATAAATCACTTGTATCACTATAGCTCGTAAGTACAGTAAACCCGAATTTTTTACAATAAATCACTATAGAAAACACGTTCATTCCAATACAAAACTAACATAACCATATCTAAATCACTTGTATCACCATAGCGAGTAAGTACAGTAAACCAGAATTTTTTACAGTAAATCACTATAGAAAACACGTTCATTCCAATACAAAACTAACATAACCATATCTAAATCACTTGTATCACCACAATAGTCGGTAAGAATTTTTTACAGTAAATCACTATAGAAAACACGTTCATTCCAATACAAAACTAACATAACCACTTGTATCACCACAATAGTCTGTAAGAATTTTTTTACAGTGGACAATCAAATTTATTGTCCACTTCGTGGAAAAACACCAAATTTATTGTCCACGAAGTGTACAATAGCAGAATTTTTTACAGCAAATCAGAAATATTGATAGTCGTAGTTCTTAATTATTGTGACGGATTAAAATGAAATCGGATCAAAATGAAATATTGTACAGTGAAAAAATAGACAAGCCACCGAAAAATAAAAATTTTTGAGGCGCATTTTTTTAGGGTAGGGGTTAGGGTTAGGGGTTAGCTTTAGGGTAGAGTTTATAATAAACAAGTTTTAGAGGATTAAATAGAAACCCTCATTTCATTTTAATCCGATTTCATTATGATCCGCGACCTTTATTATTATATTTATTTATTTTTTTTAATATCAAGGTTTAAAGAAGAATTTCGTAATTGGACAAGTGACAATCACGACATTGATCAATTAATTCAACAAACACAAATTAGTGCACTGAAGTTTAAAGATATTATTGAATGGATACCTTTTAGCAAATTCACAAATATAAAGTATTTTGCTAAAGGAGGCTTTGGCACTGTTTTTAAGGCAATATGGATTGACGGATATATTACAGGACTTGATAATCAAAAGAATATATGGAAACGAAGAGCACAAATAGATGTTTGTTTAAAAGGCCTTGATAATTCTAAAGATATAAAACAAGAATTTTTAGAAGAAGTAAGCATTATAATTTATTATTATTAAAAAGT